CTGTCACTACATTTTTTCCACAACAATATTTCTATTATTGTATTTCCCCTTCATTCCTTTTTTTACTATACTGAATCTACTGAAAAAGTGGTAAAATAGTGTACGAACATACATTTAATTCCAAACCCTAAAAATGTCAACTCGTACAAGACAAATCTTTCCAAGAGAAACCCGATACGACTAGACGGTGCGGTAGGTTTTGAGTAAAATGCAAAACACAAGGCAAGGCAACCCTACAAAGACCGTTCCCTGAGAATGGACACAGCCGGCCAGAGAGGCACGTATCATACGCTCAATTAACCGCTCTACAACATCGTCATCGGCACAGCCAGCCTCGTATATTTCACTAGCCTCGTGGTCCCAGGCCGTTTTTCAAACAGCAGTGTGCTCTCTTAGTATAATGAGTTATCGAGAAATTAATCAACCGAATAACGATCAAAATAATCTCCATAAATTCACCTGTAAAAGACGAGAACGCAAAAAATACTAACGTACCTTCCCGCAATATTGTGTCCCTTGGCGGGGAGCATCAAAGGCAAATCTTGTGGTAAGAAATGTATAAACACCACTCATAGCCACATATCAATGACGCGACACGACATTTAGCATTGGTCAGGTATGAAATGTTGCCAAGAAAAAATAGTGATAAAATGAAATATATACATATTATTTAGATCACAAACAACTTCTTCATGACCTGTTGATACGTACGTTGATAACCGCATTAGTTTCCAAAACTGTCGCAGATATCAGCGTCCAAACCACGTATACAAGGGATCAGATGTTTCAAACTAGGTTGACAAACTATTATCTGATAGGAAAAGTTTTCGAAGATGCCCTGTCCGTTGATAAGCTCTTACTACCTCTACATGAAAGATAAGTAGTAGCTTTCTATGGTTTTATTTTGTTTCCAGCATACTACTTCCCGAAACGTGAAAATAATAACGAATATTTTTTCCTGAATCAGAATTTGATATCAAATCCAATTTTCGAAATTTCTGAGGTCCAGGGATGGTGCGCAGGGTTTCAGCTAAAAAAAAGGAATCATTTTTTTTGTCACATGTAAAGATATCATATACGATTTACGCAAGGTGGCTTGCAGGAGCTGGATGCGAGTAGCCCAAGATCGATCTGAGTGGCGTGCAATTGGAGAGGCCTATGTCCAGCAGTGGACTAAGGTAGGCTGTTGATGAAGATATCATAAACTATCAAACACACCGGATTCGCACGACAGTCGCTAATTCATGTTTTTTTTTATCAAATAGTTTCCAAAACACAGTTTCGTTTATACTTTTCTTTGTATAAGTTTACTTTAGCAGCAACTTGCATTCATTTAGTTATTGTTCCGCTCCATTTCATTCAAAATTAATATTGGTAGTAAAGTAAATTATATAGCTAGTAATTATATAACAACTTTTGATATTGCATCTTATGCATTGTATCAAAAATGGAATCTATACATATAATAAAACTAGCTGACTCGGCGAACTTCGTACCGCCCAAAAGTAATAATTTGCAATAAATTAAAATTGCGACTATAATTTGAGATTTAAACTATCCTATCTCTCAAGTTGGATCGAACTGCACATGGTGTGCGAATTTTATTATAATCGGTTCAGTGGTTTAGGAGTCCATTGAGGACAAACATTGTGACACGAGATTTATATATATTAAGATGGTAGGAAAGTAAAAACTGTACATTGAATATTTTTTTAAAAGAATACTTGAGGTGTGATCTACAATCGATACCGAAGTAAAAATATAGTTTTTGGAATTTTTGTTTGTTTGTCTGTATGTATGTCCGGGATAAACTCAAAGAGTCCTGCATGGATTTACTTCAAATTTGGCACGAATATTATTAAGAAGTCGGATCAACATATAGGTTACATATTATCACGCTATCACCTACAGGGAAGGAGCAGTGAACCTTTATTTCTAACTAACTCCACGCATACGAAGTCGCTGGCTGCCGCTAGTTACCAATAAAATGCTCATACTTTCCAATTCGGAATCAAATGGGAATGCACCCAATATTCCGGAAAATTGCGTTGCATTTACGGCTGAGCTATTTTTAGATTGTTTTTAGGCTTTACGTTAGTAATGTAGCATACAACTTAGTAATAAACTACCTAACAAATATGTTAGGTCCCTATTAATTAAGGTTTACAAAAAGTTAATCCAAAACCAACTTTCTAAAAAGATAATACATTAGTACAGTAGAAAAGCGGAAAATTGCGACAATGCCCTTACATTCTTACAATTCTATCCAAACGTTGGGTAAAAAAATAACGTGTATTCTGTTTAATGAATTTAAAAAATGCTGGCTCGCGGGCTGATAATGTTGGTAGGGAGGAAACGGCTCGTGAGACACAGGAGGGAAACATTTTAAACCCATGCTGTGAAAGGCTTGGAGCTGTTGAGCTCAGTGTTGCGTTATTAAAATACGAATTTCACTAATTTTTACAGCTTTCAACATTATCAATTAACTGCTTTAAGAGGACACCCTCTTCTCAAACAACTGAAGTTTTTGAAAAAAAAAACAATATCTGATAGAATCACCATGCAGTGCAGTGCAAATGAGATGAACTCAATTTAATTTATCAATTTAAACGCAATATTTGAGTATTAATGTCTTAATGATTGTGGAGAATTTACTATTAGAATGTTTATGAAACTATAAAGTGCATTCTTGTTATTAAGATTTGGCCAATCTCTTAAGTGTATAGATTATGATGAGAATATTTTATTTACATTTAGCGTTAGAGAGAACGGTAGCAATTCATTATTAGGTCCCTGAACTTCCACTCGCATAATAATGTCTAAAATATTATTATTGAAATACTAGCTAGTATCTAAGCATCTTGTTTAGTGTTTGTTTCAGATTATTGAGTGAGTCACAAATTGCATTATTTTTGTTGTGAATTTAGTACTTCCTATTTTAGGGTTCCGTATCAAAAGAGTAAAAACGGAATCCTATTGCTGTGACTCAGTCGGCTGTCTGTCTGTTCGTATGTCACGCGTCTCTAGATAGTTAACGAAACGAGTTACAGAACTGAAATTTTAACTTTAATAAACCAGAATCAAAAACCTTAAGCTGTCACTTTTGTTTGCTAAAAAGTAACAGAAACAACAATAGGTTTAAATATCTATTGTTGTTTCTGTTACTTATTAGCAAAGGTTTAGATAACTTTAGTCGACGCTTTGGAAAAAGGCGGATTATGTTTGCTTCCCCGCAAGTTCTGGGACCTTATTATGAATTGCTACCGTTCTCTCTGACGAAAATGTATACATTCGAATCAAAATCAATACACTAAAGAGATTGGTTACAGTTTCAGAATTATTCTTATCGCAAAGTAAAAAAAAAAATAGAAACTTCATCATTTTATTATGAATACATAAGAATGAGATACAGTCTGCTCCTTTCTTTTGTGTTTGATGGTACGAATATGCCTTTTACATAATATCATAATATTGATTCCATGTTTGGTTGGACTTCAAGCTTTTTAAATACATATTTTTTTGCAATACCATTATCTATATCGTTACTCTTGACAAGAGGGCCGCTTAACTACAACACAGATTACTAGCCGTTGTCCAATAGCGTGAGAATTCTATGCACAAGAGGTTCGCGTAGAAACTGTGTGTACATTGACGACCTAATGGTGACGGGAGTTCAGTAATAACAGCAATTAAATCGAACAAGTCACCCCAGGGCTCCGCGGGTCGTCAATGCCCTGACAGTTCTTGATTACAGTGGCGTGTAGCCCCTGGTTCAATGCTAAAGAAGTATTGTTACAAACTCTACTCTCCCGCGATGGAGTCCGTCCGCTAAATTGCATAGGAACACTGTTACTGTCTTAACGTATCATTAGACTGTTTGAGTGAGAACATTTTTATTGATATGTATTTAGCTGTATAATAAGTTAGTGATCCTTTCATTTCAAAGTCAGCTGCAGGTAAACCATACAAATCTTTACAGGAGAAGTTACCAGTCAATAACAAACCCAAACAGGTTGCTCCGTAGTTCATAGACTGTGAACAAGGTATATAATACATAGGTAATTGGATAAAGGGCAAAGACATCGACTAGGGTAAGTGTACTTTTCTTTAGTTAGAAGGTCGACGATCCACCTCAAGTCACGCAGGGTTACTATGTAAATCGATGTTCCATAGTTGCTCTATTAGTCGGAATCGTAAAGATTATCGTAGCCGCAAAAAATATGGTAATATAATGCCTGGTTCGTTAACTACGCTGAAAGCGGTGAGGGTTTTTGTTTTGTTATTAAAAAAGTATTATGATCAAATTATGAATGCTGAAAGTTACGTGATCAACATGTTGAGCAAGTTTTCTATTGGACGCTAAGCAATATTATCTAGTCCACAATATTATGTATTAATATTTATACGAATGAAATTAATTTGGCTTCGCATTCTCTCTGTAATTAAAGTTGCAAAAGAACAAAAATGCTAAATAACCGAGTTCGCAAAGACAAACTGGAGTGATTAATTCGAAACCGCACTTTATTCGAAAGCGCGAAGTGCCGTCAATTCATAAATAGAAATTAAATTCTGCAAAGCCGACGAAGAGATACTGCTGCTGCAAGGTTCTCGTATAACTATTTCGAGCTGTTAAAGTATGATTTAATTATGCCACCATATGACGAGCGCGGTGTTACCGCTGACGAAACTTTCACTAAAGTTTATCTATATCTAACAGCTGAGAACCAGATTGTAATCGGTAATGAATTCGAGTGATATTATAAACGTAATATACATTTTAACAGTAAAAACGACAATGTGAAATAAAAATGAAAAAATTTAAAGAATTTCAGGTAAAAGTCACTATTAAGATAGTTTTATGTGACGTGACGTGAGTGTAAACAGAGATTTATGACTTACCAGGAATAATAAAAAAGGAAAAGTACTTTATGCAAAAACATAAAATTTTGTGAGTCGTTGTCGTGTCGTTTGAGTAAAAACAAATCAAAATTGTGTCTTACCAATAACTAACAGGCATTACATGTTTCGTACCTGAAATAAAAAAGACGGTTTTAAAAATACGGATAATATAAACAGAAAACTAACGTCTCAGCAATCATTTCTACATTATAGAATATAGAAAACAGATAAGGAGAATAAAAATATACAGATAATGTTGGCTAAAATGACTGAAAAACTAATAAGCAGATAAATTGAGTAATGAAAGGGAGGGATCCAACGTATATTTACAGAGAAAATGGTTTATCAACATAATAATATTTCATTCAATGCTCTCTGATTTTTTCAATAAGAAGTGACATGACAGCCGCGGAAACTATTGTGGGCAATAAAGCTGACAACCTATTATTTCCTGACAGCAGCCGATATGTGGGAAAAGATATAATACGACGACAGGCGGGAGGATGTATCTTTTATGAAAATCAACTCGAATAATTAATATTTTACTCTTTATCATAAACTAAAACAGATAATACACTTATAATTTCTATATCAGCTAGTCGACGCGAAGGGATTACGTAACAGCGACGATGTTGATAAAGCTCCAATAAGTACAGTTAATGAAGGCAAAAATCAGCTACAACCTCCAATTTCGTTGGACCTCCATAGATTTGGATGAAAATTTGGGATTGAGTATGTTTTAACCTCTACTTCAAAAGTAACATATGGTCGTCTTGCGCTTTTTTAATTTTAGGAGTGAAAACCACCCCTTTTTTAAAAATGGGAAAAAAATGCAGAATTAACTAACCATTCTGGCTTAAGTAATTGTGTTTAATTAGATAAAATCAAAAAAAAATAACCCCATTTAGCATTGTTGTAGGTACCAATCCAGACAAGTACGGGAGTCTCGTTGTCCATAATTTAGAGGCAGGGTTTATCAAAAGGCAACCGCAATTTGTTTTTTCCTTGTGTTAAACGCACGATTAACCTATTATTACATAGATTCGATGTTCCAAAGTGGATGATCGTAAAATTGACCTACAAAATTACAAACAAATTTTCATGTAGGAATATCTCGAGCTGTGATTGTCTTTATAATTAATTAATAAATGTTTTTTTTTATATTTACACGCATGTTTTATAATTTTAATTAATTTTTCAACCCTTTTAGCAAACACCCCTTAAATCGAAAATCATAAAAAAACATTTTTTGTATTTCTAAATTTTAAAATCGCATATTAACATTACTTACATAAACAGTTTGTTTGATACTTATGATATAATTTTTGGTTGACAGTGAAATTTCAACTTTAAAACTACCCCTTTATTGCAAAATCACTGTAAAAATTGGTTTCAAAAACTTTAACCTATTAAATAGTAAATTACTGAAGTGAAATCTTATTTACTGAGTATTAAAATATTTATTTATTGCTAATTTTTCACCCTTAAAAACTACCTCTTCTCATAATAATAATGTTTTGTTTTATCAGATTTAATAAGTTAGAATCTTGATTAATAGTTAAGATAAATTTTATTAATATATTTCAAACTTTATTAATATTATTCAATTCACTTTTTTCAACAACGACTTCAAACTACCCTTTGTGCAAAAAGTGATGAAAAAGCATACTTTAAAGTTGGTGATAAATTTTTAATATTTTTTTAATCGTGACATATTTTTTGACATAAAAATTTTATTTATTAATTAAGAGAAAAATGTATTAAAATATATGAAACGTTTATTCTCTTTTGCTTAATTATTAAATAAATAAATTTTTGTTATTGCTCATCACAGCTCTCTTCACCAATATTTGCATTTGTTTATTTTGGCAATTATGACCGCTGCATGATCCGCAGGTAGAATTACAAAATAGCACTACCCTAAGTCATCCACAAGAAGCACCGCAACCTTTTTTACAACTACAAAAAATCATTTTAATAGCTCTTCGAAATAAAATATTTTTTAAGAGAACTACTAAAGAATACCACGTGTAATTTACTACACTTTTGGAAATATACTGAAATATTCAATAGACACATATCATTCTAGAAAGCCCCACCACGTTTCGAGCAGATATTTACCGTTCCATTCACTTTTTCTATCTTTAAAAGACACATACACACACCCATACATGTGTATTTAGTAAGCATGTACCTATTGACACTTTTCCTATAATATATGCATACCAAAAATGTGATCCACAAAAAAAATGTTTTTTACAATAACTCCGTTAATTTTCAAGATATCAGGTTCATCAAGAGCTTTCAAAGCCCGTATTTTTTATAAGATAAAGGGTTAAAGGGTTCCGGTTACATGGTTCTCGCAGTAAAAGTGAGGCTTTAGACGTCTCTACCTCGGTTATTTTCGGGCGTAAAAAACGAAAATCTTTGTTACAAAAATAACTCAAAGGACATTAGGCAAAAATGTATGGACGCTGCACCCACGTCCGCCACGGTTTAAACTATATTTGTTTGAAAGGTATTATAGTCATGATCATTTGTGCCAAAGCGCATCACATTCAATCCCGGGGGTCTTTAGTTATTTTAAGTTAAATAGGTACAAGTACTATGACGAACGAACATTAATGAAACCAGGGAATTAATTTAATTAGTTAGTTCGACCGTACATAGAGGGCTCAGGTATTATGGGAGTACTTCACAAGGTGCAAAGGTGCCCTCATATATTATTCTGCCGCGCTAAAGTAAATCCAAAAATCCCCGCATGGGTTGGGTTTTTTTCAAACAGTCTGTTTGTTACAGAAAATTGTCTTCTAAGTAAAACGGAGCGACCACAAATCACACAAACTTTAACACGCTTCGGAGAAAATATGATTCCAGTTCATCCATACTAATTGACAAAATCGATAATCGTGTTCCAATGTCCAAAGCGTGTTAGATAAAAATCAATCAAGTGACAGGGAGCGCACAATCACAGCGAAGTAAGACGAGTCGACTATTTGTAACTGCAAATCCTTCAACCCCCTTTTTTCAGGTGTCTCAGTAAGTGCAAGCGCAGGATGGTCGGCATGCTTTTTCGTATATCTGGTTGTATAGTACGATATGGCATATTACTAGGGTTACTAATAATATAAAATGAAGGTATTACAAAATTCATTTATTTAGCTACTTAAAAATGCCCATTTATCATATCTTTTGCCTACCAGGATATTTTAAGGTGTTATAATAAAAAAGGCTAGTTTTTAATAGATCTATCGATTTATACTAATTACATTGTTGCCGGAGCTGGGTGTGTTTTGCCCATTGTCCTTTCTTACGATTTTTTTAAGAATATCCAATATTTTTGAAGTTATTTTCAAAAGAAAATGAAATTTGAAAAAGATCAATTTTATATTAAGCATTTTAAACCGGGAAAAATGTTTGTGGTCATCACTTATGCTGAAAAAGGGAAAGTCCTTTAGGGATAACCATAAATTTGAATTTTTGTGGAAATGGTAAAGGTATTTTTAGCTTTTTCCAAAAAAAAATGGAGTGTTATCTTATTTTTATCATAACTTGCTCAATTTTGATGTTATTGACTTTTTACAGTGCTTAAGGTATTTCCGAGTACTTAAATAAGTGTTCAGGAAGTATATGTCATAAAATGCATCTCCCGTTATTTAGGTTATATTAGAATACTAAGATTTAAGTACTCGTCAAAAAAATATATACTTAAAATTACCTATAGCTGCATCCACCCCCAGGACAAAAGCGCAAGTTGGCACTATGTCTCTTTTGTTCCTTAGGGTATCTCCCACCTACTCACCAATTTTCATGAAAATCGATGGAGGTTCAATGAAATCGTAGGTGAAAATCTTCATTAACTGTACTACAAGCTAAGTTATTAAACGATACAATAGATGCATAACGACAAAGAGACAAATAAATTGCGTAATGTATACCCGAGTTAACCACTGTCAGCTGCTGTTTATAATAATATGTATAATACGAATGACAAGTAAAAGGAACGAATGGATCGAAACGTCCGTTTCGGTTAACGGCCACTGGGCAGGGTCAGCGTACCACAAACACTGGGAACGTACTATCACTACCGCTTAATAGTGCCTCGACAACTTACCGTTGTGTCAATGAAAACGTTACAACTCTGTCTATAGCCACTATGCTTTCCATTAGTTTAATAAGGGATGAAAATAAGTTTGAAATTCCATCATTCTTAAGACTAACCAGTTTCGTCTAATTTGTGCTCGTGTTAGTCTTTCGGGGGTCGTTTCACATTTCAATCATCGGTCGGCAACTCTTAATTAAAGAGGCAGCTACTTAGTTTACCATCCCTTCGTTATGTATAGGTGTATGTATACATACAAACTTTTGATGTTTAGTAAATGATATATGGACATGGAGCAACAAGATCGGCCGCCGCGTGTAAATTATCACAGTTATTTTAGTAGTGTTGAGCAAGTCCCCCAAATGCATTAAACAACTGTTTTATGTTAGAGATCCGGTAGTTAATCTAAAGTTACATTACAAGACGATGCTTTTAACCACCTCACAACAGAGAGCTTTAAATAATTTATAATCCGTTATTCGTATAAAAAGACAATACATATTTGGCAAATAATAAATGTAACTGTAATACATTCGCCGCATGCAATTTATGGTTGTAAAATATACCTTGTATTCGTGATTAATATTAATTCGTTGGTTTATACCATTACGTACAAGTCTATATTCCTGTTTAAATAGGTACACTAGTATTATCCGGAAATAACTTAACCAATATCATGATAATTCATGCAATGGATTTTCATATAAAGCTAAAAAATTTAATTACTCAAATATATATTATTGAAGTTATACTTCTTTAGGCGCGTTATGAAAAAAAGATGAGAGTGAAATTTTAAGATGCGCGCGCATCACTGTAACACAAAAATTAACAGCATGAAGTTGGTCGCTTTAGCGACCAACTTCATGCTGTTACTTTTGTGTTTACCGCACATTAAGAAAATCTACCAACAAGATAGAAATAGAATCTCTATTTAGTGGCGTGCTAACGACTGCATTGTGAAGGCCTATCAAAAGTATTTATTAATCTGGAACAACGGAACCAAAGCGCGATTCAGGAGACTACAGCGCCA